AAAGTAAGTGAATTGATTAACCACCGAGTTTCTCGTTAGCAAAGGTCAAGGGGTCATAAAGTGGCTGGTGACTCTGCAGCAACACTTTGCACTTTGAAGGTGCGAAGTGCGTACCAAATAATGGGACCACTCTACACAGGTTATTCAGGGTTGATTGTGCCGCCGTGACATTGTTGAAAAGCAAGACCATACCGTCCGCATAATCAAGATCAACTAACTTTTCACCAGGTACGACCTCGACGCCTACTTCGTGAGATTTCGTAAAAGATCACTCAATGATAGAGTCCATAACGAAATGGGGACACCGGACAACCTTGACGAACGCCACTTGTGGTTGGAAAGCTATCCGACAGGTCACCGAAGACCGTGACGCGGGTGTGTAGTGTTCGAGTATAGATCAAGTAGGATGTTCACATATTTCGTGGGAACACCATTCCGCGCAAGTATTTCGAACAAAATGCATCCATCGACTGAATCGAACGCACTCTTGGAATGGAGGGACACAACCATTGTCGTCCTGCGGTATGCGTGGCGCTGCCTAGTGAGGCCACTCGGGACCGGTACCGAAGCGACGACGGGTTCTGCAGAGAACGTAGGCAGCACCGGCGCAGCGTTTGTAAGTACTCCTTTCTATAAACTCCTCCTGTACTCCTTTCTATAAACTTGCACACGTCGCTTAAGCCAGTTGTAGTTAATTTCGATAACATTTTCGTGTTTGTGGCATTTCCGTAAAATATACTTTCTGACCTCGTGAACTTATCTCGGATTCGCTTGTAAACAACTTATTTCATATGATCACTAATTTAAGATTTAGGTCACCGTTCCCTTATGCATTATCCGATTTAGTTTCTTTGTTATCTTCCTCTCAAGTGATTGGTTGTTGCTTGATATCCCCGGTGTGGCTGCGCTTGATGTGCACGCTGACAAGGTGCCTACCTGTCTACTATCCACTACCTTGTTCATACTGGTTCCAAGAGACAGTTTATCATTGCTGGAGTTGCACGGGATGCACGGTCCTTGTGGCCGTGTTAGGATCAAAGAGTGATTCCATGCAGTCAGTGTGGAGCGGACTACGGTCCAACCACCGCCTTGTGTGCGTTTGATTCCCAAATACAGCGTGCTTGTGTTTGCCCGTGAAGAAGTGTGGGCCGACTCCGTTGATGAAACGTGGCTCCCATCCACATGCCCCCCGGTCTTATTCCTTCGGGTTTACACTGGATATGGGGTGTGTGGATGGAGCTGTGGGTAATGCAGCGCAAGCCACCCATGGTCCCTCTGTAGGAGCAAGCGTCCTGTGGCTGGCCACAGTGACAGGCAAATCCGAAACCGGATGACGTCAACCATATATATAGTATAAACTCGAAGCACAAAGGCTGGGAGGTCTGTGTAGGGGAGCCAGGTTTCATCACTTACGACTCGACTCTTAGTGTTGGCGATCACTTTTGCTTGTCTAATTAGTGTGACCATATCAGGCAAGTGGCGTCTTAACATTTGTACCCGGTCTTCTTTGTTTTGTAATCTCCGAGGGCACTGTTCAGTTAACCTGTACATCACGTCCTACTTGTCGGAGAAAGAGACGAGAGCAAAGTCTCCACACATAGATTCAATGGGGAAGGTTCTGCTGAAGTACCGATTTAGATGCCGGCGATCGTATCGAGCAACTCCGTCGCCCAACGCGTTTGACAGATATCTGGTGGTTCGGAATAAGTGCAAGCTACATCTTAAGTTTGCCCGGCTTTATTAGAAGGAGGGTTTAAATGATAGCCTCGTTGTGCTGCGAACTCTTCTACTCTAGCGCTGTTTCGAGCAGATAGAACCCGTTTGTAGCGATTACGACAAAGCGCGGGTTTGGTAATACTCAAGCGTCTGTATCCGTGAAACATACATGCCGCGCACAGAACTAGTCTCGAGGCTCTTATCCAGATGAAATTTGTGTGACGGTCTCAGGTCACTAAGGGAGTCAGACCCAACTAAAGCACCCGGTCAACATTGTGTTTATCCCAAACTACTACACGAATCCGCTACCTTCAGAATGGAAGAAAGCCGTGACCGACCCGATTTTCAAGCGCAGTGACAGGGACCTACTGGCTAATTATAGGCCTGTCAGCGTGACTACCGTCGTGGTTAACGTACTTGAAGAATCGGTAAGAGATGCAGTAATCACTGGAATAAATTTAATTTGCTCAGTGTCGCGAAGGGTTTTTACGTCTAACGAACTTACTGGTAGCGCGTGAGAGCTGTATTGAAGCTGTTGACAATGGGCACGCCGTGCAAGTGCTGTTCGTTGACTTTGCTAAGGCCTGTGACACGGACCCCAATCGCGGCTCACGCTGAAGCTGAGGTCCTATAGAGCATCTGGTCTCGCCCTTCAGTGGGAAATAGCTTTGTTAGATGGAGGGGAATAAGGTACACGCGTTGGATACAGTTTCTCGTTTCGGTAAGCCGTTCATAGCGGCGTCCAGTAGGGCTCTATCCTACAGCCGCTGCTGTTAGCAGTATAAATGACTTGTCTGGGGAGCTTGGGGTATCGTCGCTCATATGTGCTGAGGATCTAAAGCTCCGGAATATTGCGTGTCTCTCGTGGTCATGAAACTCTCCAACGGGCTCTGGATGGACTCTGGGAATGGTTTACGATGTGGTTGTAGCCTATAAACCGGGTAAAGTGTTCATGTTGCGTATCGGAGCGGTTGATTGCTCTACAAATTAGTGATCGATGGAAGTGAAAGCCCTTACGTGACCCATCAGGTAGATCTACGCGTCGTCCATCGATCCACTCTCCGCTCTGGAGACGAATGGAAGACGGCTGGCAAATGGTTCCGGAAGTTGTGGTTTACACGAAATTCTTTCGAGACTCTAATAGCTGATATACCTATCAAGAAATTATCGGTTTTTGTTCGACCCCATCTAGAATACTACGTCGAGTTGCGCGCCCTGCCTCGTCTGGGACAAAACGGAGCTCGAGCGTTTTGCGACTGGGTACTAAGGTTGGCTGAGGGGTTACGCGGACAGATGTACCCAAGCGCCTAGTTAACTTGGGTGTATATTCAATGCGCTAATGAAAGCTACGATCAGACCCGATCCCTACCGTATCTTAAGTGGGAAGGTTGGACCGAACTATTTTTGGTTATCTAGTCTGGACAAGTTGTTTGGTCTCCGCGGTCATCCCACGAAGTCACAAAAGCCGCGCTCTGACCGGATTAGGACAGAAAACCGGTTACCGTGTCGAGTTATTAAGCGCTGGGATTCGCTTCCAGATAATGCAGCCAGGGAACCTACGTTTAAAGATTTTCAGCGTCAGTTGGATGCGCATGGTGGCAACAAGAAGCCTTCGTCCCTTCCTAACCAGAAATATATCATACTTCGAATATTTTCCGTGCTTTACGCAACTCCTTGGCATTGTCCTTCATTTACGTAACCATTCTCATTCACGTACCATCTTCCCATATTTTAGTTACATCACTCGACCCGTGAAAGCAGGGACCGCCAGTGTAGGAACCAGGGGTAGTAAATGGCTGACCAGAGTGCGGCTTGGGTCTTTTGATTCGGATCCGTCCTGCCTAAACAATCCGTTCAAAGAGGAACACTTAGGGGATTCTCTCGTTTTTCCAGTCTCATCTAAAACTAAACCTGAGTATGGTGGTTTAGGGAGAAATAGCTCTGGGTTACCCCAACCTGCCGTATGGTCGCTGAATCTGCATCAGAGGCTACGGCAACATCTACACCTTCTCTCAGCCAAGTGAATCTACAACGCTTGCAACTTCCTCCTTAAGGGAATCAAGCTCCTCGATAGAGCTTTCAAGACAGTCCATGACGCTTCCAAGTTGAAGCCGGAGGGCACGAACACCCCTAAATGCTACGGCTCACTAAGTGACCAAATCCAAATTAGACAATGTCATCCAACTCTCTGTGCACATCCGTTATGTCTGCTTATTTGAGATAGGTCACACAACAAACAGCACGCAACTTTTAGGTGTTTGCGCAAGTTGGATTAAACCTGAAAGCGTCATGGACGTTCTTGGAGGATCTATGGAGAAACTTCATTTCCCTAAGGAGAAATTTGAAAGCGCTATGGATTCAATTGGCTGAAAAAGGTATAGTCCAACAATTACGAATAGCACGCTAGTTTCGGTGACGCGTAACACAATATCCCAAGAATCCTGTGCCTTATCGTATTCGTGGCTTGGTGGAATTCATGATCGTAAAAGGCTAGGAGGCATTGTTCTAGTGTGGACGCAGTCTTTTGTCACGAATAATGAGTAAGCGATGAGGACGAGTGAGAGCAAGAGAAATGATGAGAGAGAAAACGGTAAACTGTTTTCGTTTATTCACTATAAGATAAAGTAGATAAGATGACGCGTGTAAAATGTGCTGCAACCGATGAGATAAGGCTTGAGCTTGGAGAAATAGTTGTGAACGCGCCTAATGCTGGTGACGTCGTGCGTAAACCTAAGCAAAACTATCAAAGACCTCGATTAAGACGTTTGGTTTAAAATGTCGGCTGCAATGCAGTAAGAGCACTTCCAAATGGACTATTTGCGGATATATGGACACCACCTCACCTCGGACCATCAGGCAAGAGAGCCGTCGCACGAACGCTGGGCGCGTAGTAAAGATTGCTGCTTGAATGAACCCAAGAAATCAGTAAAACCTAGTGTACTTTACAGACATTCAAGTTCAGTGTAATCGCGATATCAAACCAGCAGTATCCGCCAAGGAATCGATACAAGCAAAAATGAGTTAAGCCGCTAGGGAGCGAACCAATAAACAGCCCATAGGTGCCATCCAGTATTCGATTAGTATGAGCGTGGTGTAGCGAAGTTGGTGACAAGTATCACATGCTCATTTACAACAAACGGGAAGCGCAAGCAGACCGGACTTGCGTTAAGTGGATTCGGAAAGCAACCAGGCCGGTTTTGTGAAACATACAGGTAAGAAGCTGTTGAGAATAATTGATTGGGTACGTCAGTGCAACCCATAGGAACCAGAGAAAAAACAAAACACCGCGAACGTACTGGATATATTTAGAGCCATAATACACTACCGGTAAGACTTTTGGTAACGAGCACGGGCGCCAGGGCCACCGAATTTCTTCGGTTCACAACGACGAGGGTCGGCGACTAACAGGCTTCTGTCGTACTGAACGAGTTTCTCCTTCATAATGTTCTTGGAAGTCTCGTCAACGTACTTCTGATGGAAGGCGACAACAGACTTAGCGAGAGCTTGACGAATAGCATACATCTGTGCAACCCGTCCACCACCACTGACGCGCACGCGGATATCCAGCCGGGCAAATCGGTCACCTCCAATCAATAATATCGGCTCCAACAATTTTGGAATTAGAGGTTTGGGCTCCAACACATCCATCGGCCGCCCATTGATGCGAATAATTCCGCGGCCAACTTTGCAGTGAGCCACCGCAGTGGCATTTTTCTGGAAAATGTGAGACAAGTAAGAGTATGGAGCTCACCTTGCGACCGAAAACCTGAACGGCTTGTCGAGCACGCTCCATTGCTCGGGAATCAAAAAGTCTGGCACAGGGAAACTAATCGGTTGTTTACAGGCGGTGACTGCGAAGATCCATCAATTCTTACTAACGCCCACGTATAAAGAAAATTTGGAATCCACAAGTCATTTGCTTGCCCAACCTATGCTGTACACTAGCATGCCATTGAAAAGACGTGTCTCTATTTATTATTACGTAATGCGTGATATTTGGGTATTCAAAAATAAGCTAAATTCAATTTCGAATTTAGTTATGGGTGAAACAGTAGAAAATGCTAGAGGGTTT